TATTTCCAGAACAAGGTTAAATAATAGTGGAGACAGCAAGCATCCTTGCCTTGTTCCTGATCTTAATGGAACTCAGTCTTTCTTTATTAGGTAAGATGCTGACTTCTGAAAATGTATATACCAAATTTTATTATATTAAGAAAATATATGTCAATTCGTGTTTTCTTAAGGCTATCAGGAATAGGTGTTGAACTTTCTTAAAGGCTTTCTTCAGCATTTACAGAAATAATCATATGATTTTTCTCTCTTATTAATACTGTATATTACTGGATTTCCTAGAACCAACCTTGCATTCCTAGAATAAATTTCACTTGGCCCTGGATATAATTTTAACATGGTATTGCTGTGTCAATACTGATTAGCAATATGAAACTAAAATCTTCTTAACTACCATCGGGTTCAGCTATCCATGTCATACTGCATTAAAAAAAAAAAATTGGAAAGTTCTTGTGGGTAGGACTTTTGTGTGTGCGTTTTAACTTTCTATGCTCTGGAAGAATATACATACCATTTAGGACTATATTTGGTCTTTGAAGGGCTTACTTCCTTTGAATAATAACAGCAAAGGAACAGAAGAGTTCAGTCAAATACAATAAAACCTGTTTGCATCATCTTTTGAGTTCTTTCAGCAATGCTTTACTGTTCTCAATCTAGACACCTTTCACTTCTTAGGTTAGACGCATTCCGAAGTAGGTTGTCTGTGTGTCACTATTATAAGTGGGATTGTGTTTTTGATTTGGTTCTCAGCTTGAACATTTTTGATGTACAGATATGCAATAGATTTTTTAGTCCTAAAATTACAACTATGCATGTTAGGCCAGGCCTCACGCCTGTCATCCCAGCACTTTGGGAGGCTGAGGCAAGAGGACTGCCTGAGCCCAAGGATTCAGGACCAGCCTGGGCAACTGGTTGGGGCCTCCTGTGTACAATAAATCAAAAACTTAGCCAGGTGTGATGGTACATTCCTGTGGTTCCAGCTACTTAGAAGGCTGAGGCGGAAGGATCTCCGGAGCCCAGCAGGTCGAGGCTGTGGTGGCCGGGAGCGGCCACTGCACTCCAGTCTGGGCGACAGAGGGAGACTCTGACTCGAAAAAAAAAGTGTACAAATAATAATGATAATAATTATAATTATTAGATCATCACTATCAATCCTTTTGTTGACATTTTTCCAGTCATCTCTTCACTGATGAAGCTCATTCTCTAGTAGATTCCTCAGGTAGAAAAACAAAATGCCCTCAGTTCATAGATGCCTGAAATGGATATTCTGTGGTCCTGATACACGAAGGTCAGCGGGCTCAACATAAAATCCTTATCACAGACGCTTTCCGTCAGCTTCTTGCACGTGCTTTCCCATTGCTGCATTGCTTTTCCATGTTGCTTCTGAGAAGTCTGATGCCACTTTATTCCCTTGCCCTTGTATTTGATCTTTCTGTCCAAAGGTCCTGAGGATTTCTCTTTATTTTAAAAATCTGATCACTTAATGGGTACTCAAGTGTGGTCACTGTGGGTCAATTTTCCCAGGTGCTCAGTGAACTCTTCCATTAGATAGAGCTGAGTCCTATTTCATTTCTGAAATGTTTTCTTGAATTGTTTCGAATAGTAATTCTGTTCCACTGACTTTTCTTCTTCAGACACTCCAATTCTATGTATGTTCAGTCTTCTTTGACTGTCCTCCATTGTACTCATTTTTTTCTGATACTTTTTAACGTAACAATTTTTATTAGATGTATTTGCATTATTTGAAAGTTTTAATTGACAAATATCGCATATTGCAATTTTTACCATTACCTTGACTACCCAGAAATCTCTTGATATGTATATACTATAGGATGACTAAATCAAGCTAATTAACATATTCATTGCCTCACTTTTTTTTGTGGTAAGAACTTTTAAAATCCACTTTTACTTTATTTTATTCCTTTGGTTAGTTCTCTACTTTTCTTCAACGTTTCTTATTAAATTTTCACTGAGCCGGGCTCGGTGGCTCAGCCTGTAATCCCGCGCCTTTGGGAGGCCGAGGTGAGTGGATTGCCTGAGCCCGCGGGTTTGAGACCCGC